GGCATTTGCTCACTTTGGACCACGCAGTGGACTTTTGGTGAATATGGACGACATTGTTTGCTGCAGCTCAAATTGAGACAGTCATCCAACCTTGTTAGAAAACATGTTCCAAGCACTCCAAGCGGCCGGTCTTACCTTGAAACCCTCGAAAGTACAATTTGGACCAAAGGAAGTCAAATACGTGGGTCACATTCTGTCTGCCAAAGGGGTTCGCATTGGGGGTATTATCGACTTGCCACCACCGAAAACCATCAAGGAACTCCGTTCAGTATTGGGCACGGTGAATGATGTGAGGAAATTTACACAATTTATACCCGACCTTTCTACGGTGATCGCACCGCTGGTCGAGCTCACACAAAAAGAGCATGTAAAATCGATCGCAAAACGTTGGAGCTAGGAACATGATCAGGCTTTTGCAGAAGTGAAGTTTTTACCTAGCAAAGCACCCGTTTAAAGTTTCCCTGACTTTACGAAAGATTTCGTGGTACATGTTGATGCCAGTGAAGTTGGTGCCGGAGCATTCCTGGGCCAAAAGAACGGCGACGACATGATTATTATTGCCTGTTTTAGCCAGCGATTTGACAAAGCTCAACGTCACTATTCCCCGACGATGAAAGAATGTTACTGCTGTGTAGTGTTAGCCTTACAACACTGGAGACCCTACCTATAGGGCAGGCATTTCGAAGTTGTCACGGATCATGCGGCGTTAAGATATTTGTATACTATGCAGGACACGTCGAATATACTGACCCGATGGGCGATTGCTTTGCAGTCTTTCGACCTTACCGTGCGACACAAGCCGGGAAAGTTACATGTAGTCCCGGACACCCTGTCTCGGTTGTTTGAGTTATGTCACCAACAGCAGTTGCCGCAACTTGCACCAATATGTAGGAATGTTCCTGAGGACCCTGCAATGCATTAGAGTGCACCACGACGTCCTTACCAAGTGTCTTGCAACCTGTCCAAAGTGACCGCGAATTATTCGCTGAGAAATCGGTGTATATTAGCGCGACCAATGTGTTTGAGACAATTAACCGCGATGTCTTGCGTGAGAAACAAGCTTTGAATATGGCACATATGTCGACTACCTTACAAAACAAGACGCCCGTCTACCCGATAACGAAACAACAACTTCCACGTCGTACTACTCTATACGCGATGGGTTGCTGTTCAAATCGTATTTACCGGGTCACCTCCGCAAGCGCAGGACGTTTAGTGACCAATTAGTGTTACCACAAGCCCTGACAGGACTCGTGTTACACGCCTATCACGACCNAGTTATGTCACCAACAGCAGTTGCCGCAACTTGCACCAATATGTAGGAATGTTCCTGAGGACCCTGCAATGCATTAGAGTGCACCACGACGTCCTTACCAAGTGTCTTGCAACCTGTCCAAAGTGACCGCGAATTATTCGCTGAGAAATCGGTGTATATTAGCGCGACCAATGTGTTTGAGACAATTAACCGCGATGTCTTGCGTGAGAAACAAGCTTTGAATATGGCACATATGTCGACTACCTTACAAAACAAGACGCCCGTCTACCCGATAACGAAACAACAACTTCCACGTCGTACTACTCTATACGCGATGGGTTGCTGTTCAAATCGTATTTACCGGGTCACCTCCGCAAGCGCAGGACGTTTAGTGACCAATTAGTGTTACCACAAGCCCTGACAGGACTCGTGTTACACGCCTATCACGACCACGTATTATCTGGAGGCCACTTAGCGTCTAGACCGACTTATGAGAAGATCCGCCAAAAATACTGGTGGCCAACCATGAATCGGGACGTTCGTACTTGGTGTCAAGAATGCCAAGCCTGCCAACGTCGTAAAACGGCCCACAACCGAAAAACATTATCAACGGGACATGTACCTGTACAAAGACCGTTCGAACGTATTTCGGTTGATCTAGTCGAATATAAAGTGGAATCAGTGTCAGCCGCCGGGGTACGGTGCAAATATGTCCTATCCTTGATAGACCACCTAACCCGATTCACCGTGTTGAAACACTTCCCAGTAAGTCAGAAGTCACTGTCGCGCAGGCCATTATCGAACGCATCATTGGCATCTTTGGATCGCCTGAAATGTTGCATTCCGACCAAGGTCCTGAGTTTGAACACAGTGTAGTCCAGCAGCTACAGCGGATTCTGAACTATAAATAGACCCGCACGACCCCATGTCGTCTTCAGGGTAATTCCGTTTCAAAACGAGCACGTACATGCAATCATGCATGCAATGCTTGCAATGCATAGTTCCATGAACCGCGATAACTGGGCATCACTGCTGCCTTTTGTTCAACTGGCCTACAACACATCTTTTAGCTCCACCATGCACGAAACGCCGTTTTTTCTTATGTTTGGTCGGAAGCCACGTCTACCAGTTGACATTATTCTCGGTATTCCTCGTGAAGGAACAACAGCAAATACCGGAAGAATTNTACGAAACGCCGTTTTTTTTTTTATGTTTGGTCAGAAGCCACGTCTACCAGGTGACATTATTCTCGGTATTCCTCATGGAGGAACAACAGCAAATACCGAAGAATTTTCTAAAACGACACAGGAAAATCTACAATTTGCGTTTGAACTAGCGCGCCGTACGTAACTTGTCGGAACGCTCACAAAAACAAGTTGCCAAAAATGCTAAACTACATCCTACCCCTCCTGTGTCTAAACCTGGCGATTTCGTACTTGTGTACCGACCCTACCAGGATTCGGATGGACCAAATCCGAAGCTGTTGTTACCGTGGCGTGGGCCTTACGTCATCTGCTCCCAATTATCACCTGTGGAATATAGAGTGAAACGCCAGAATGGAACTCGTGAAGTTTCGGTCCATTTAGCCCATACTAAACGGTATTATGCGAGGAAAACGCCACGTGCGCCAGACTTTGATAAACTTTCTGAGTTTTTCTTGAGACGCCAGATTCCGTTGCCCGAGCTGACCATCCCGATGAAGCTCAACCGAAAATTGAGTCCTACATCGTTGACAATGTGGTAAGCCATAAAAGTGGTAGGGGGCCGAAAACCCCGTACACTACAAGTATCGTTTGCGTCACCGTGGATACGACCCTGAGTCGGATCATATGTACAGAGCAGACGAAATCCCACAATGTCAAGAAATGATAGCTGCCTACCGAATCCGTTGTGGTTTGGACATCGCGCCGCCTGATAAATCTGCGTCTCGTGCCCCAGTTAAACAGGGAGATCCAAAATCACCCAGTGAAACCAGGAAACGAAAACGGAGACAGGCAATTAAAACTGAAGAAGCTTCACCTCGAAAGTTGGTTGTGCAAAGTGGCTCCACCCAGCAAAACCAACAAACGACGGAGAAATGTCCAAGGGAACTGTCATTTACCCCAGTCGCGTTCGGCCACGACCCTAGGTGATGTTACATTGTCCCGTCGTACTAGCAAACGAAAACGAACTAGGGCCCGAAAATTGAATGATGCATTTCGATCATTTCTAGCAGCCAGCGTTTCTAATTTTAGACTTGGGATATTTTTCTACTACCATTTTCCTGTGTCCATCACTAACAACGCAGGACCGGTAGCCACTGTGGTAGGTTGTGTTCATTGGAAACAACCTATTCTACCAGTGTTTGGGGAAACACTGGCGAGGAGGATAATTTTTTTTAGCCACCGTTATCCCAAGATCTTATTTATGATGCATAGGCAGATTTGCCAGAGGTTCACCCCACTACAAGTCTACCCCACATCAACCTCACACATGGCATGTCACGCGATCATGACCATGGGAAATTTTCTAGTACCCTAGCTGTCATCATGATAGCCCAGTACCCACCGTCTTCTAGACTATATCTACTAGTATGGACCACATTCATCGACCGTCTGAAGACTCTCCGTGTTTCTCAACACGCGTTGTACGATAATCAGACGTAGTCGATGGTGTTGCACAATGGATATAGGTTATTTCCGATACAGCAGTAGCGGCTACGGTTTAAGAGAACTTATTTACGAGAAAGTACGGATTTAAGAGAGAGGAATTGGCTTGTACCAATCAATACCTCTCTCCCCCCTCCTCCCCTCCCCGGGGGAGGCCGAGGCCCGCAAGTGCAGTTAACTCTCGAAAAAACCACCCAACAACGACGGATATACGGTCCCTAGCACCGTGTAGGAGAGGATCCTGAGTTTGGCGGTCGGGAGTTACCGCGGTCACGAGATCGAGGTAGGTCGTGATAAGCCAACTTGGAGACAGCTGCCGATGGGTTTGAACCCAAATGCCCCGGTTTGGACACCGGGGCAAGGCAGCGGTGGAGAGCACGGAGAGGGTGGCGGGATGATCGCACACCGTGTGGGTAAGCACCCAACAGGGGGACGGAAAGGGTCCAGAGCTGGAGAGCCACGCCGCTCCGGGACAGGAAGACACCTCGCTGGGAAAGGCAAGCACCGGGTTAACTCTTACATTAACCCGAGGATCCGCAGAGCAATAAAAATAAAGAAAATAAAAAAAGGAAGGAAGAAGAGGAGGAGGGGCCGGAAGGTGCGTAGGCTGATTAGGGATGCAGCACGCACCGCCCGGCAGAGGCGGCAGGGTCGACTTGTTAGGGTAGCAACCTACAATGTGCGTACACTGGCCGTGAACGGGGCCAACGGCTATGGGAGAGCCGACAGCGTCTTACACGAGGCAGCGAAACAGGGCATTTCGTTTGTCGGTCTGCAGGAGGTCAGGAGACCAGGGCGAACGGAGTTCGCAGCATCCGGTTTTCGGGTGTTCACCT